ATTCCTTAATGTGTCTTTCAGTGCTTCCCTTGATGTACCTGTGTGGAAATATATTTTTCTCTGCCGTTTTTGAGCTCACAGTAGGAGTGTGTGTTCAGAGCCTGGAAGACAAAAAAGCCCAAAAGAATCTCTAAACCTTCCGTACGGATATAACTAAATTATGTTTGGTTTGGTTTAAAACCCCAGCAAGTTGGAGGGCAGTAACTGATTTAAACGCTAGAGATGCTAAAAACCCAAGGCTCTGTTTGGATGCCACTATCTACTGTGCAGATTTTGGGCCTTGGTGTGGTAGAGGATGCTCAGATGGGTGGTCTCCACAAAGAGCTGGTGATGCCACATCCAGCATTTTTTCCACAGCGCGGTGACGTGTACCCTAAATAGAATAAATTATGTATATCAGTTTTAGGCAATGTTGATACCAGGGGGAATTTTATCTTTGTTCTTTAGACGAATGTAATGAAAAATTAAATATTAATGTCTCCGCAGAACTTTTCTCAGATATTAAGAAGCAGTGAAGAGAGATAACATTTTTCCATTTGTTTTTTTTCTCACCTCGCAAACCGGAAGTAATTAGAAAAGTAGAAACCGTGTAAATTAAATATTACGAGTAGGAAAGCTGTTGCTGGGCATCAATCAGAGAACTCATATTGGACAGACGTCTCACAAATGGCAGGATCTGGCGTTTTCCGGGTTGTAGGGTGGTAGGGTCATAGTTGGCTGCCGAACGCAGGTGCTCAGCGCTTCGAGTGTCACTTGTTTGTTTCTGTAACTGCAGTGAAAGAAGTGACAATTATTTTGTGAGCTCGCCTCTGCGGAATGTCCTGTGTTACTTAATGCACAACCCAGGGTTTTGAGGAATAGTTTCCCTTGTCCTTCTCATGCTTTGTGAGATGCCCCGTTTTCTACGTTTTTCTACATTTTTGATTTCTCTTTCTCTCTCTCTTTCTCTTTCTCTTTCTCTCTCTTTCTCTCTCTCTCTCTTTCTCTCTCTCTCTCTCTCTCTCTTTCTCTCTTTCTTTCTCTCTTGTTCTGGTATTCCTTTTGAGCAAGAAAACTCCCTAGAAAACTGCTAGCATGTCCCCTCTCTCAACTTCTCTGCAACTCTTGGTAGGGAGAGGCAGAATTCATGCTTCTGTGGCCTGTTATTTTTAATACTTTCTCCTGACACTGTTCTTCCTAATAGAATACCAGGGACCTCCCATTCTTGCACAGGGTCTTTGTAGAGCATCTAGTGAATTATGAAATGCTCTCTGCCAAGGAGAAGTGATACTGTACACCTGGTTCACATGTTTCGGTGTGAATGATCTTTAGCCTCTGAAACGTTGTCCTTCACAAAGTGCAAAGACGAGAAGGTAACTCTATCTCTAGGAGATGTTGCCATCTAGCAGATGCCTTGTTGTGTGCCCTGGGTCACTTGTAGCCTCTGTCACCCAAGAATGAGGACCTGGGTGGGAGGGCATTGCAGAGGCTCAGCTGGTGGGACCATGCTTGGAGGTGGAGGTGCAAAGGCTGCCTGGCCTGGATGGTGACCCATGGCATCTGAAAACTCTTGGTATGGTCTCAAACTCTGCTTTTCCAAAGAGTATTTTTCATTTGGAGAATCTGCATTTTAACTGATGGTCATCTAATGGATCAAGGCCGTGACCAAACGTCTGCACTCTTTTGTGCAGATAGATGCTAGAAGAGTGCTCGACTGAAGAGCACTGCGTGTGCTCCGTGCTGTGTGGCTCACAGGTTAAATTGCTTTTCCAAATGTAGCCTGGCAGGTCTGAGCAGAGTTTTCTGCAAGTTGCACGTGCCTGCTTCCGAGATAACTTCAGGCCTGCAACCTGCCCCCTCTCCCTGTATATACAGAGAGGAGATTATTATGTTGATAAACTTAAAATTCAGCAGGGCTGTTTATCTTTCTTGAGAAAAAATAAATTTAGTGCCTAGCAGACATCTTCTCCAGACTTGCTGTTACGTTAATTAATAGTGATCCCATCAATTTCGACAAGATGGACCCCGTTGCATCTGGACAAATCATTCCTGAAGATGGAAGAAAGGTCGTGCTCCTACAGTGCTTCTCACTAAGTAGCCAACCATCAGTTCTCTCAGCTGCTCACAGTCCTGGCCAAATTAACTGGCCTGTTGGTTTTTCTGCAATTGCAGTATTAACACAGCTCCTTAATCATTTGAGGCACTATCTACAGTTTTCAGCTGCCTCGCACATTTATTGTGCTCGAACGTGATCTTTTAATCAGTCCGGGGAACCATGCATATGGAATACTTACCATTAGATTATAATTAACTATAATTATGTACGGAGATCAGCTCAAGCCATAAAATGTAAATTTAGCTATTTACTATGTTAATAAGAAGATTCAGGAAAGATAAAGAGCTTGATTCTTGCCCCCACCCGCCACATTTTTGTTATCACAGGGGTGTGAAGGAGACTTAATGAAAATGTTGGTACAATTGGTGTAACTGCAGTTAGCATCCATGCTATGTCTATGTTACTGCAGACTGCTGTAAGTGAGATTCAGGCCAAAGAGGCTGCATCACTGATATCATAAAACACTGCTTTGGACAGCCGGGAGTAGAAGAGAGGATGCAAGAAGCCTGAGATGAGGGCATTTGTCCATAGTTAATGCCAGAAAGTATTCTCTACTGTACAGAAAACTGTTTGCCTATGGACAATTTGTAAAACATGTAAGTGGGATTTCAGCTTCTGAAGGGGAGTATTCCCTTATATCCCAGTGTTGCAGTTAAATCCCAAGGGCAGGTATTTTCCAGGCGTGCACAGAGGTGGTATATCAGGCTGCATCAGCGTGTGCTGTTACTGGCACTGATGAACAGGGAGCCGTGTGCTGTGTTAAGTTGCTGTGCTAACTCCACAGTTGTCTTTTAAAAGCTTTATTGGAAAAATAAACCAAATAAATAATATTTGGAACCATAAAATAAAGATTTAATTGTTTTTGTGTCTAAGGTCCTACATGAGCATTTAGTCTTTGTGGGGGAAACAGTTGCCTTTGTTTATTTGTTTACATCGGGGAATCAAATCCTGCACAATGTTCAAATAATTTAAGCTTTATGGCTGTTACAGCCGCATATAAAGTGTTGCTGTGTTGATACCTGCTGGTTAAATAAAGCTGGAAGGGCTATATTTATGCATGTTACTGTTTACTGTATTTAATGGAATAGAAAAGTAAAGTAATAAATTCAGGGACAGCACACACAAATTATTCTTTTTCCTTTTGGAACAAAGAATCACTGTTCCAAAATACTGGTTAATCCCAAGGTAGTGACCTGGATACACTGGAACATTGACACTTCTCCTTTTTTTCCCCTGCTTCAGGATTTTAGATAGAGATGGTGGGAGCTAAATGGATTATGCGACCCTGTGTTTTGTGGCTGAATTGAACGCTCTGTCTTGGGAGGGGATCCCATGATGGTGAAGGAGCCCCAAAAGGTTTCTCAAAACTGCCCTGAACACTGTGCCGAGCCCAAGGGCACAGTGGGCCACAGCACTGCATGGTTCTTGCCCCTTCCTTAGCATTTTTAAGGTATTTAAACAAGTAAAGCAAAATCATATAGTCTGTTAAGATCTACTATTCTACTTCTATTCTTCATCTACTATTGTAATGATGAAAAAAGTCAAAACACTTAGCCTGTTTGTTTACTAAGCTTTATACATCTGAGTCCTATTACAAAATGGTGGTGTCCTTTTTATTTGCTCAGAGGAAGAGCAACATGATACCTTATTAGATAACTACCTTCTAATTTAAAAATAAATATGAAGTGAATGAAGGAATTTATTATGTTTCCAGATTGAAATTGTATACAGTGTCCTAACTCTACAGAGACTTTGCTCTGTTCTTACCGCTTGACATATCACTTATGATTGTATGTTAAACACTAGCCCTCTGTATTAAAAATTACATGACTGTATTCTTTAATTATTGGCCTAGAGCCTGCAATATCATTACTGCAAGTGGTGTGGTTTGGAGCCATTGCTACAGGGCACTCAGTAGTTTCTTTTTGTAAAGCGTGGCAACCTCCGATAACTGTGTGCCTGCCTCTGCTTAATGCCTTGGATTCCCACCAGGGTAAATGGCCTCTGTTTTGGGGGGTGGGCGGGTCACATCCTAATTATCCCTTGACAAGATGAATTTCCCCTAGCTGAGATGCCTGCACATGGAGTCTCGCCTGGCCCTCGTCTACGCTTCTTGTTTCAGACTGTTCTGGACGCAACGGCTCTAGTCAGAAATGGATGAACTCCGCGCTTGCCAGAGCTCAGGTCAAGGTCTTTCCTCATGGCACTTGCAATGCAAAATACTCCTTGATCACCTCTTTGACAAGGTCTCTGCTTTGGAAACCTGCTTGCATCCAACTGGGTTAATGTAGTGTTGGTTGGTTTGACTGATATCAGTCAAATATTCAATTGCCATATGTAAAGGAAAATATAATTTGGAGCAAGAAAGTGTTGCAATGATTGATTTGTATGCGCGCTGTGTCCTGTGGAGCGTCTGCTCTAGGAAAAGCTGGAGCAGTTGGTCAAAAGATATAATGTTAGATGTCTTAGTATTAGGATTCTTCTGTCGCCTTAGTGTTTGGATTCAGAGGGACTCAGGTTGTCTCCCAGAACTGCTGATGTGGGAATTCAGCAGTCTCTCATGACAGCTGAAGATGGAGGAGCCTAACACTGCTGAAAATCAGGTGCCTTTGGCTTTATTGCTTATGCCTGAAATTTTGGGCACCCAAGTTGTAAGTTCGTGGGCAGCTGCTGCCTGGCAGCTTTTCTAAGAGGGAAACCAAAGGAGAGCTTCATTTTAGCGACTTTCACAACACATCAAGGGTTTCGCTCTCAGACCTTTTCTAAGCAAAGTAAAAATAGGAATTTAAAACACAGCACTGTCTCCCTGGTTTGTTAGCAAGTCTGTTCTTGCTGTAGGTGTTGTAGTTGGCTACGTCTAGCAAATATAGCTAACCTGTATTAATTTCAATTTCCCCCTGCAGTAATGCGTAGAAATCCATTTGGGATGGACATTTGCTGTCGGAAGGGATCCAGAAGCCCACTCCAGGAGCTGTATAATCCCACCCAGGTGAGTGTCTTGTAGCTATGAACAAACTCTGCAGCCTAGAGCACAAACACAGTCTTTTTTTTTCTTAAAGGTGGTGTGGTTTGCTTTCTTTTCATGTCAACACAGTAGCTGTCTTCAACCTCAAAATTATAAAGATTTTTTTTTATTTTGGTATCTTTAGGTGCCTGAACGCCTTAAAAGAATATTTTTTAATTCTCCTGCCTCCAAGATCATAATTTAATCTGTTGATCAGCAGGCAGAGTGGCAGGGTGGGGAGCAAGAATATAAAATGATTAACATGATTCAGGGAGTGCAGCGAGACAGTAAGTTGCAACAATAATTTAAGGATATCATTTGTATGGCTTTGAGCTAGCCAGATGGCCTCTGTGTCCCAGCCCATTACCTGCCTGAAGTGCAGTCAGACATGGTAGCTCACACTCCTCCTTCTGCTGTGTGCTATGTGACACTGAAGGCACTGATGGGAACCGACTGTAATCTGAGCTGGAGTTCTTCGTGTGGCACCAAGTGTCACAAGGAGAGCGCAGGAAAGTATCTGAATTTCATGCCCGCATTTGCTCCTCTAGATCAATTTATTCGCAACATGTGGGTTGAATTGGCACATTCAGGACCAGCATTTCCTACTGGCTACTGAGAGGAAGTCCTGCCATTGAGAGAAAATGCCAGCTGACTATTAAACATATTTAGCAAGGTTTAACAACTGCCTATTATATATTTATACATCAATGAATACATTGAGTTTTTCTAAATTGGCTATTAAGGAAAGAGACTATCTCAATAAATCTGACTTGTTAGATTTAACAAGGCAGTAAATGTTTTAAATACTATTTGATTATGAAGAGAATCACTGTATATATATAGTATGTGCAAAATGAAGTCTAAGTGATTTTATTTATGAAGAACTGAAAACTACCCAAAGATACGTGATGTCTATTATGTAGTGTAGTAAAACTGTATTTACTAAATACTGTTGTTTTTATGAATACAATCTGACTTTCTAATTCAATTTGAATTCTCTACATGAGTGGGGACATGAGTTCATCATACTGGCACATTGGCCTTATTGACTGTTAAGGGAGTTAATGCTGGTTACATGGAAATGCATGAAAAAGCCCCGAAGAGGATCTATCTGCTCAGGAGCAGCGCTAGCATTTGAAGGTTAAATTTGAAGATTTAAAGAAGCTTAACAGATGCTCAGAGAAGAATTTATGGGGGAGAGGGCAAGAGGTTGGGTATTTAATTATTCTCTGACATTTGCAGTGTGCTAGTAAAGATCTCCTTCTCCATTAGTATTACCAGTGTCAAAGGCCATCTCAAAGGAATGGGACAAGCATATCCGTGCATCGGAGGATTGGAGATCCCTGAGCCATTGCAGGCTTGGTGGGCCCGAAGATTTTTGGAGCTTTCTGAGAGAGGGGACACAACGGCAGCTCCCTCATGCCTCTGCTCTGTGTGTGTGCCTGCCGAGGGACGCACTGCAGAACCCTTCGGGGCCCTCCGAGGAGGGAGCCGGAAAAGTCCATGTTTCAGTAGGCACAGACTGCTGCACAGCTCATGTTGAACCAAGCAGATGATATTTCCCATACATAAAGTGTTTCCATCAGTTCACTGACATCTCTTCTTATTGAGCTTTGAGTTTTGTTTGTTTTAGGCTTATATTTGGATGTTTTTTGGATGGGACTTTGCCTCCAGCATTCAGAATGGTGTACCTCAGCATAACATAGGGATTGGCAGACTCTGAACTGCTGGTTCAGAGGCAAGCAGGCAAGCACATGTATTTTTTGGAAAGAAGTGATGAGAAAAGGCAGTGGGTAGAGGCTGAGAAGTAAGGCAGCACCTGGAGATCACCCCTTGGAAAGTTTTTTCAACAGTCTTCAAGTGTGTGGGTCTTTTCTTCTTATTATGCTTTGCCTTCAAAAGTGTTCTTTCATCTTTTTTAAGGTGTCAGAGCAGTCTACCTCTCACTACTATAAGTAATTGTATCTTCAACACTTGAGCATTGGCACCTGTAGGAGCCCTGGTGCTGTCATCTCCTCCTTTTTCTCCTAGCCCCCCATGGATGTGTGCCCAGGCACAGGAAGAGTTTGGTTCTCAGGGCTGCTGCTTCAGAGGAATGGCTGAGCTGGTTGGGCAGGCATTTGCACTTCTCCTTTTAGTTCAAGGGAATCTTTATAATTCAAAAACCAGACCTAGGCCACTGAAAGATGCCGTGAAGCTGTGGTTTTGGATTACAACAGGCTAGGTACAGTTGTCATTCCTTAAGGGTAGGAAATTAAATATTTAATGTGTCAGTGTGCATGTTTTTTACATGGTCTGGTAACAGGAGACCCCAAATTTGGCTCAGCACCTCTTCTGCTGTAGAGGGCAGGGCGTGCTGTATGTCCTGTGCTCCTCAGGTTTCGCTGCGTAGGCAGCCACGAGCTACTACAACTCCTGCTATTCCTCTTCTTGGAATGGTCCCCAGGACCTCCAGAGAGATGGCAGGGGAGAGGGCTTCATGTGGCTTTTTCTTTTGAAATGTTAATAAGGGACTTGATATCCTAGCATGCACTTTCTGTGAAAATGTTTCCTATCCCCAGGTCTTGAGAATCTGTTGATCAGTTGAAATAGGTGCCAGATACAGGGTCAATAATCTCTGAGGTTTAAAATGCTGTAGTTTAATCTGAATGAAGTTTTTGTATTGTATGTTGAGCATAATGTTGCACTGCCTCTGTAAAACCAGAGGGAGGAAGGTTGATTTACACCAGCTGAGGATTTGGTCAAGTGTATTTACTGTGTTGACATATAACAGCCTCTCAGATCCTGCCCTGTTTTGCTTCCTTCTATGGAGTTGTTCGAATTGTTTGTAAATGCCATCTTTTTGGCTTGGTAAACGATTGTTATAAGAAAAGAAGTTTGGCTTGAGTGAATTCAAATCTAGCAATGATGTGGAGGTGGCTAAAAGGGTGGTCTGAGCTGAATTGCAGCCACATTTGCTGCAGACTGACCATAATTGTTCATATGTTTGATGGAGAAGGAGAAGATAAATAGGTGTAGATAGCACTGAATTAGAGCCAGAGGAGTGTCTGTGACAAAGCCCTTGTTATTTATGTCTTAGTTGAGTGCCTGGCCTTGTGATTACTGTAGAAGTAGGAACAACTCTTATGCCTGTTATAAAAGAGCAGGCTGTGGGAAGTGCATTTGTGTGTGGACAAAGGATTTCTCCTCTAGGGCTTTCACTGCAAGATTTTTCATGAACACTAATATACCATGAGGGAAAGAAAAGTCAATATAACTGAACTGGATTTACACTGAGTAAGTGAATTTCTAAGCTGTGATCCCTGAGTACCTGACAGACTGTGCAGCAGGTCTCTGAGACCCTATTATCTTGTTCTTTTCTTTTCATTTTCACTTACATATATTTTCCCATTTTTACCTTTATTGCACGAAAAGGGTGCAGAGGTATCTCTGGCAAATTTTGAGTGCTGAAATAGTCCCTTTCTTTAATGGATTTGTTCAAAAGCCAATTTGTATCTTCATTAAGCAGAAGTATTTTCCTCCTGCCGCTTAGTTGTAACAGGAAGGCAGAGAAGATTCAATACACAGCAAGTAGCAAAGGGGAGACTCTGAAAACTTACTAAGAGCCTTGTAAGGCTGGGACCTACATTTGCAGTGTATCTTGGTTTTTTTTTTTTTTTTTTTTTTTTTGCATTCCATACCCCAGGAATTTAAAAACATGGGTAAACAAATACTTGCAAAACATATTCTTAGAAGACACACATGCAACTGTCTTGTAATTTTCATGACTGAGTACAGCTCTGCTGCTCCAAAAATAACAGATAATTGTGGATCAGCCCATTGAGCTTAAAGTTGCCAGGAGTTCAAAAATGGTCAACATCATATCTGAGGCTTGTACACATTACTGGGCGACATTCATCTGTTCACTGTGGTGAAAGCACCACCAAATTACAAGGAATTGCAAGCCAAAAGAGACCAGGTGTAAAATGAATGGAAAACAATTTCATTTTTCAAGTCAGAATTTATCGTCCAGTTGTCAAAATGTACATTTAATTATGAGAAAATACAGGCTGTATCATTGTCTAATATTACTGCCTAGGCATAGGTATAGCTAGAGTACTGAGGGAAGCGACAGGATTGACCAGCTTGTATTCACTGGGATTCACGTTTCGGGCATGAGTTTGTTTCAGTTTCAAGTTTGACGTTGCTTAATTTGAATTTGTAAATTAATATGACCATTTTGCTAGAGGTCAAACTCTCTTGCACTCGCTGCTTTCCTTTTCAAACCTGTTTTTTGTGTGTGTGTGTGTGTGTGCTGAGGAGCTGCCTTTCTAGGAAGTTGCTTTTTGATGTAGCTGGAGCCAGGCTGTCCGTTGATTTCCTCACCCTGGTGAGTTAGTGCTGCGGGCCTAGCATTGCCTTCGCATTAGGAAATTGTACCGGACTGTTTTAGAGCAGTCGTTCTAAAATTAGCCATTTCTTTTATTGCTTCCCCTTCTCCTTCCCTGCTGCCCCCATTCTGCCAAGCGGGCAGCGGAAAGCGCTGCCTCGCAGGCGCTGCTGAGGCCGCGTCGTGCACCTCAGGCCACAAGCGCTCCTTGTTCGGAGGTGCCGCGTGATTAGCTGTGGCTCGGGCTGCCTGGATAGGATCAGAAAGTGTCAGCCTCGCTCGGGCCACATCACTTAACTTCCATCTGCGCTGCTCATTTTCTCTCTGCAGTTGATTCGCACTCGCTGGGATGACTCAGCGGGCAACCGGGCTCGTTCCTGGATGGAGCTTCGCGGCGAGCTCTGAGGCCTGCGCTCCGCATTCGCGTTGTCCGAGGCACATCGAATCAGAGGCTGAAACACTGGAAACTTGTATTCCTGCTCTTCATGAGCTGGAGGCGCTGGTGCTTTGTAGTTCCCTTCTGTGTGTCAGGGCATCTCATTTTTAGAAGTATAAGAAGCAACGAGCAGGTGTGTTGAGTAAGATGAAAGGTTGGCTGCTCCCGGTGCTTTGTCCC